GTACTCTTTTTCCTTCACCACGGTTTTATCCCAATGGGTTTTCCTGGTAAGGTTTTAATGAGGCAACATCCCCAAGCGTATTACTAGCTCACGAAGGTTATTACATCCAAGGGGGAGTGTTATGAATATAGTGGATTGTCATAACAAGCCCAGTAAGGCCCGGCCCATATCAAGCCCGGTCCGGCCCAATGTTATGGAGGTGTAACTTGTATTAGGGTTTACTTGTAACCTCCTTTGTATGAACCTATATATATGGCTTTAACCTAATGAATAAAGCATCCTATTTCCCTCTCTATTCTCTCTAGTCTATAACACCCCGTCCATAATAGAATGCACTCAATGCACAGATTGGATTAAATATGTGGAGATAACCCACGTCCATAATAAGAATGCACTCAATGCACAGATTGGATTAAATATGTGGAGAAGAGGAATGTATAAGGCCACCTCTCGATATAAAGCCAGTTGGACATAAATGGGTCTTTGTGAGGAAAAGAAATAAATATGGTGATATCGTGATATATAAAGCACGGCATATTGCACAAGGATCCTCACATAGACCATGAATATATTATGAGGAGATATGCTCCCATGTGGTGGATGCTAAGTCTGGCTATATAAATGAAAAGACTTCATTTGCGGCTAATGGATGTAATGCCTGCATATTTATATAAGTCCACTGGATAATATAAGAGATTACCAGAGAGTATTGAGCTCAAATATAAGAAAGGTTCTCGAGAACATCACTGCGCATAAGGCTGGACAAATCCTTTCATGGACTTAGAATAAATGGGCGTATGTAAGATTATAAACGATCCCATCAGTCCATGAATACTCATAAAGAGGTTTGCAAACAAAGGATTTGTAATCATAAGCAGTGTATATGAACCTCTGGGTAATCGACCAAACAGTTGAAAGACCTAGGCATCAAATAAGTCCTGTTTGGAATTACACCTTGAGTACATAAATAATGAAATCCTTGTGCATCAAATGGCATACAATAAAGGGTACTCAAAGGAAATTTATAAGGACTAGGCCCGCCCATTGACCAGGCCCATTGGTGGTGAGAAGCCTAAGATTGGATAGTGATCCATTCAGTCCATAAAGTCATACCTCAGTGTCATAAGAGCTTTAATGTATCTGGCGAGCCACACAAGGCCTGATATATGTTTTGCCGTGAATCTATTATCAAGATTTAGCTCATTGTCCAACCCAAATGCACTGGGACGGGATTACAACATATTCTTCGTTATCTACAAGGTACGAAAGATTTGGGTTTATTTTACACTAACCATCCCAAGGAGGGATTAGTTGGTTTTGCTAATGCAGGTTATCTCTCGGATCCGCACAATGGTCGATCACAAACTGGCTATGTTTTCACGTACGGTGGAACGGCAATATCTTGGCGATCTCAAAAGCAAACGATCGCAGCAACATCGTCCAACCATTCTGAAATCTTGGCGATGCATGAAGCCAGCCGTGAATGCGTTTGGTTGAGGTCCATGACCCAACATATTATGATCGATTGTGGGATGACCGAAGGGAAGGCAGCACCAACAATAATGTATGAGGACAATGCTGCCTGCATAGCTCAGCTCAAAGATGGATACATCAAAGGAGATAGGACGAAGCACATCTTGCCAAAGTTCTTCTTCACTCATGAATTACAGAAAGCCGGAGAAGTTCAATCATGTGACAACTCGGCGGATCTATTCACCAAGTCGCTTCCAACTTCAACGCTCAAGAAGCTTATCAAGCAGATTGGAATGCGACGGCTTAAAGATCTTCAGTGAGCTTCAAATGAGGGGGAGTAATACGTGTTGTACTCTTTTTCCTTCACCACGGTTTTATCCCAATGGGTTTTCCTGGTAAGGTTTTAATGAGGCAACATCCCCAAGCGTATTACTAGCTCACGAAGGTTATGACATCCAAGGGGGAGTGTTATGAATCATAGTGGATTGTCATAACAAGCCCAGTAAGGCCCGGCCCATGTCAAGCCCGGTCCGGCCCAATGTTATGGAGGTGTAACTTGTATTAGGGTTTACTCTTCATCTACTACTTTACGTGGGCTTCCACTTATTGGGCTAAAACTTTTATGTAATTTGTGTTGCCTTGAATAGAAACTTGATAGCGAAAGAAACAACATGAATTCTGTGATCGATCAATAATACCAATATATGGATCACAGTGTGGGCAACGCTTGTCACCTCAAATATATAGTATATGGACAGGTGAATTATTATAATGGAACAGACGAACAGTCATGACATGCTGCTGCAAAACTTATCATAATACTATTATTTGACTTTATTTATTAAGATGAGTCTTCTCTTGAACAGTTTTTTTTCTTTTTCTTTTTTTTTTCTTTCTATTCCTCCACAAACACTTTCCTTTACAAATAGAGAGGCTAAAGAACTTAAGAAGAGAAACACACTCCTCTCCAAAAAGACCGTAGTTACAATTTCTTGAGATTAGCAAAAATCATGGCAGAAGCATCTAGTTTGGTGGGGAAGCTTGAGACAGAAGTGGAGATCAAAGCTTCGGCTGGAAAGTTCCATCACATGTTTGCCGAGAGACCACACCATGTCTCTAAAGCAACTCCAGATAAAATTCATGGTTGTGAGCTGCATGAAGGTGACTGGGGCAAGGTCGGCTCTATCGTCGTCTGGAACTACGTTATTGGCAAGTAAACCTTTATATCTTTCTGTCTTTAATTTTTCTTTTCATTACTCATGGAATCTAAACCAAAATTCAAACTAGTTTCTTAAAGATATGTAGTCGCTACATAAATTTCATAGTACTAATTAGAAAAAAGTTCGTTTAAATGGAATGGATTTCAAATATTAATTAACAGTAGATGACTACTAGCTACTATGATTACATTTATATACAATATCCTTTTGAAAAAAATCCATGTTGATTTTATAAAGCCAAATCTAGGGAAGTAATAAAATCTAAAAGCAATTGATGCAGATGGAAAGGCAAGTGTGGTGAAGGATAGGATCGAGGCGGTGGAGCCGGAGAAGAACTTGATCAGGTTCAGAGTTATAGAAGGTGATCTGATGAAAGAGTATAACAACTTTGTAATCACAATCCAAGTGACCCCTAAGCATGGAGGGTCAGGGAGTGTGGTCCACTGGCACTTCGAGTATGAGAAAATAAACGAGGAGGTAGCTCATCCTGAGAATCTCCTCCAGTTTGCCGTTGGAATGTCCAAAGAGATCGATGAGCATCTCCTAACCGAAGAATAGAGGATTACGTACCCTTCATGTGTGTCAGTGTGTGTGTGCGTCTTAAATATGTCTGCTTGATTAAGTACTTTGAAACTACAACAAATAATCATTTGTGTCCAAGTTGGTGTGTCAATCGCATGCGTGTATGCGTACTAGTACGGTCGAGTGATGTTTGAAGTTTCTAAATTGATGCAACGTGTAGTAGTACTAAAGTTATAGTGCTACTTCAAGTTTGTGTATAAATATACTATCATCTCTGTATTGAATGATAGTAAAATCATATAATCTAGCTAGTGCAGTCCCATCTCGTATCACCCCATTTCTTATCCAAATTTCAAACTAAAATAAAATGGGCCAAGATGTCACATTTCCAAATTTTGTCTCCGTTATAAAATTTCTACTCTAAGCCCACATTCTCCGAAAACATGTTAGATAGTCCTTCTTGTCACTGGTTTTGAAGTATTTGAACTTGGGAGATTAGAACCTTTCCTATTGCAAAAGATCACACTGCCATATGAACGATATTTTCCAACCTAATTAAACTTCGTCATATATATATATATATATTTTTTTTTTTAAATAGGTAACGTGTATACCTTTGCAAAAACATATGGTCTGCGAGGGTTGACTCGAAAAAGGATATGATATTTTAATAATGATTTGGAAATATAAAATACTCAATGATACATGTATGGTCAGAGTTTTATATTCAACAATTTAAGTAAGAACTTTCAAGAAGCTTATCAAGGAGAAACACCGGTTTAGTGGAAATAATGAAATGATGACTATTAAATTGAATATAGTTTAAAACTTATCATTTGTTTAATATGGATCCAGTCACATCCAATGATCAAGCTATACCAATCAAATAACCATTATTCAAAAATCCTTATCATGCCATCTCTAGAAATAGCGAAGGGATACATTTATACATACTCCTAATGAACCCATTTGTTCTAGTTTCCAAACCCTACCACATAATTTGAAATTATTTTCTTACTGCTTTCCCACTAATGCTACACCCTGAAAACATTTTGTTTGACACGAGCTACGAACTAAATATATTTGATATAGCCTTCGTTTTATACATTAATTAAAAAAGTATACATCAAACAATTCAGGCTTATCAGTTAGCTACAGGTGGACAAACGTGATCACATAAGATAAAGAACAAATCAAAATACGATTAATAATAAAATTCAGTCGCATTCACGGTTAATACATTCCTTTATAAAAAGGGGGCAAAAGAGCTCAGAAAGTAACCATTCACTCTCAAACCTCAAAAACCCTAACATTTACAAAGTCAGCGGTAATTAAAAAGAATGGCGGAAGAGGCATCTAGTTTGGTTGGAGTCCTTGAGACAACCGTGGAGCTAAAATCCTCGGCGGAGAAGTTCCATGACATGCTTGTCGGGAGACCACACCATGTCTCCAATGCAACTCCATCGAACGTTCAGGGAGCTGAGCTGCAAGAAGGTGAAATGGGCCAAGTTGGCGCAATCATCTCCTGGAATTACGTTCATGGCAAGTCAACTTTATATATTTCTTTGTTTATATATATATAAATCTCTTCTAAGATCTACCAAGTCATGATAATTGAGTACGTGAATGTTAAATTTGGTGTAGATGGAGAGGCAAAAGTAGTGAAAGAGAGGATCGAGGCAGTAGATCCGGAGAACAATCGGGTTACGTACAAGGTATTAGAGGGTGATTTATTAAAAGAATACACGAATTTCGTGATCACCTTACAAGTGACCCCTAAGGAAGGAGAACCTGGAAGTGTTGCACATTGGCACTTTGAGTACGAGAAAATTAATGAAGAAGTGGCTCATCCTGAAACTCTCCTACAGTTGGCTGTTGAAGTCTCTAAGGAGATGGATGAGCATCTCTTATCCGAGGAATAGAGGATATGATCATCTCTTAATCTCTTATATATATATATATATATGTGTGTGTGAAGTCTTTAAGCACGTCTGCTTAATTACTATGTATGTGAAATTGCAATAAACAACGAGCCGTGTCCGAGCTTGTGTGTGTCATGTACGTGTATGCATACTACTACTGTCGACTTGTGTTTGAGCTTAATTCATAAAATGCATACTTTTGATACTGTCGATCGTTTGAAGTTAATACAGTAAATTGAAGATACGTGTAAAATTTAAGGCTGCTACTTCAAGTCTATGTGTATGCCTAAAAAACTCAACACAAAAGTCAAAAATGTTACAATAATTAAATTCATATGCATCAGTGAACACGAATAGAATAATAACACTTGGACAGCACAAGTAAACAAAGAACACGTGATGGTTTATACTACTGGCAAAATAATATCTTTAGATATTTATTTCGAATCGGACCACGACAACGCTATGGGTTACTATTTCTGGTCTGTGGCTCAAAGGGATCGAGAAAAAGCTCTGTCCAATGTCCATGGCAGCGGTCATCAAGTTCGTAGCTTCTCCTCTACACACGTCATTTTCAGTCAAACGGATTCATCATGAACCTTTCTCTCTCAAGAACTCTTCCCCATCTCGGACCGTGATTGCTTCCAAAGCACCGGGTAATTTGGAAACTCATGGGTCTGATCGTGTCAATTACAAAAACAAGCGTGTTGGTTTGATCCCTTGTTCGCTATCTTCAATTGAGATTGTCCCTCAGAAGACGAAACTAAATTTAAATTTCGAAACTTTGTTCGGTCAACGAGCTCTGTGGCGAAAGATCTTGTTTGATTCTACGAAATTTAGAAGTATCATTCTTCTGAATGCCATTACAATCGTTTATGGTAAGCTCTGAGTATTCCCCTTTAAGCTTTAAGCTTTTCTTCTGTTCTTAGGTGTTTGGAATCAATGCATAGTTTCAAAGTTTCAATCTTTGATCTCTGTTCTGTCTTTGCACTTAAACCACATGGAAACAAACTTTGTCTCCAATTTGGGTTGGTTGAGGATAAAGTAGGAGCTTGGATTTGATTGTTGACTGCTTAGGCTCTTAGAAACTGTTTATTGAATATGTGGAAGTTTATAAGTTCTGATCTGTTGACATGTGTTATGTTGTAGCTAGTGATATTGCAGTTGTTAAAGAGGTTGAAAAGATCATGGATCCTGCAGCTTTTAATGTTGTGAGGTTTGTTGTGGCTGCGATTCCGTTCACTCCTTTTGTTGTGCGGGCGTTGAATGATGCTAAAACGCGTAATTCGGGGATTGAGTTAGGTTTCTGGGTTAGTTTAGGGTATCTAATGCAAGCAATTGGTCTTCTAACATCTGATGCTGGTCGTGCATCATTTATATCCATTTTCACTGTGAGTTGTGTTTTGCTCAGACAAGTTCAATTAGTATGAGAGAGTCTTAAAGGTAAAGTAATTATCTTTGCCTCTGATGACTGTTACAGATAATTGTGGTTCCATTGCTTGATGGTATGCTTGGAGCTATAATACCTGCACGCACGTGGTTTGGAGCTTTAATGTCTATCTTGGGAGTCTGGATGCTGGAATCCAGTGGTTCTTCTCCATGTGTAAGTGCTCATTGATCCTTGACAAGTGAAGTTTTCTTGTTTACAGTATTTTTTTTTTTTTTTTTTTTTACAGTATTTTGACGGTGTAGTTTACATTTATTCAGATTGGTGACTTGTTTAATTTCTTAAGCGCTGTGTTCTTTGGAGTTCATATGCTAAGGACAGAACATATCTCACGAACTACAACTAAGGACAAGTTCTTACCCCTTCTAGGCTATGAGGTCAGGAAAGCTTTCTGCTTTATATAGTTTAATTGTGCTTGTGGTGAACTACTATGATGGTTTAACGGAGTTGTATGTATGTATGCCATTTCCACTTAGACATGTGTCGTTGCTCTGTTTTCGATGGTGTGGTATTTTGGTGGGACATGGTCTACTATTTTTCAAGATTATGACCCATCTTCCTGGACATGGGACTCATCTTGGGAATGTATGGTTGCGTTTCCATGGATACCTGCGCTGTACACCGGTGCTTTTTCAACTGGTGTTTGTCTGTGGATCGAGGTACATTAGATTTTCTGGCTTTCTCCTCTAAGCTATCTTTCCAGTGTTTCAATGTAATCATTTGTTGATGCATAAGGCAGATATTTAACAAAGTAAATGAACTTTGGCAGTTATTAAGGTGTTGTTTAGATTGGTTTCATTTTGGTGATTTTACATTCAACATGTTCTGTCTGTGCAGATGACTGCCATGTGTGATGTATCTGCCAGTGACACGGCTGTGATCTATGGTTTGGAGCCTCTATGGGGTGCGGGGTTTGCATGGTTCATCCTTGGTGAGCGGTGGGGAACAGCTGGGTGGATCGGAGCTGCTCTTGTGCTAGGTAATGTAACTTTAAGAATTCGACTGTATGGTTCTTAATTCATTTTCTAGATGTTATCTGACTACAGAAATCCAATATGGTTTCTACTTTGTTCCTTAAGATACTATTATGTAGCAGTTTAATATATAGATAAGTAGGATGATCTTATAGGCTACCCCTAAATGATAATTTTCTGATCCTCTGCAGGTGGCAGCCTAATTGTGCAGTTGTTTGGTTCTTCACCGCCACCAAAAAATCCCTTAGAAGGTGAAGTGAGTAGAGAAGAAAATGATTGTGCATCTATTTCCAACAAGCAAAGGCGCTTCTCAACCTCACCCATAACGGTTAGATCGCAAAAAAACACGTCTAAACTATTGGAGAAGTAAAAGAAGACTCGTCCATCTGTGACTTATTCAAGTCTCAAGAGGCGAGCCTTAGTGTTACCCTGAGGCTTGGAATGTGAATTATGTAAAGTTCCCTTACAGTTTTGAGATGTATACTCATCTTGAGAAGGCCTATCTTTTGGTGGAGATTCAGATTCTTGGTGAATCAGTTCCCCAAATGAGTCTTGTCTGTGAAGAGAACAAAGAAATTATTAATATAAGCTGGCGTAAATGCTAGGCATGGTACAGATTCTTCCTTCAAAAGACTTCACTTATATATAAGCAGAGCTACACAGAGACCAAAAGATCAACAACAGAAAAGTGATGGCTCAGATGGCGAGATCCATGATAGAAGTGGAGATCAAAGTGTCAGCTGATAAGATTTTCCAAGCTATCAAGGCAACTTCGCGCAGCGTACCAAAACTGTCTCCAGAGAAAATACTTAGCGTGGAGGAACAAGTTGGTGATGACTGTAAAGGCACCAAGAATTGGACTTTGTCTGTGGGTAAGAAACAAAAAGTTACTTGCGTCTCCTCTTACTATAAGCTACTCTCTGCATAAATCTGATATCAATGGTTTGTGTTACAGATGGAAAAGTAGAGAAGATGAAGGAAAGAGTAGAGATAGATGAAGCGAACAAATCAATGACTGTGTTTGTGTTCGAAGGAGATGTGATGGAGAATTACAGTAGCTTCAAATGTAATCTTCAGATCATACCAAAGCTCAATGGAAGAAGTATAGCGAGATGGAGTTGGGAATACGAGAAGCTTAGCTCAGATTCTCCAGCTCCGAACAAATACATGGATTTTGCAGTCTACCTCACTAAAGATATCGAATCTAATCTTCTCAAAACATAAGAGATTTAAGTACAAAGCCTTTATGTATTTCTTTGTTTCATATTCGAACGGTTACTTATCTTAAAGCCATGTACGAAAACATCGGAAGTGTGTTTTGTCGTTACAATGATGGGCTTATCGTATGCAAATCTCAATCTGTACGATGGATTTCGATTCTGTGTAATGGGCTTTCATTTAGCAAAAAAAATGTTTTTTCTTGTTTGTTTGTTGTCTTTTAAAGTTCTTGTAACTCTGTTTATAATGTCACTCTCACTCTTATCATTAATACTTAAATATTATAAACTTACAGGTCCACAATAATTAATTAAAAAATCCTTACCTAATGTGAATATAATTATAATTGAAAATTTCAAATCAAATATCTGATGGTGACGATTACCAAATACTTTGTGAAATTGTCTGTCACTTCATCAGGTAAAATAAACAAAGTTGAAATATACAATGTTAACAAAAACTAAATTTTGCCTTGTCATTCTATTCCACATCAACTTGAAATCAACATAAGAATTAAAAAAAATACACAATTATATATATATATATATATATACCTGGTGACGTGACAGGCAATTTGAAAAAGTTTTTAGTACTCTTGATTTAAGAAAGAAAAACCCATCAATTTTCGGAATATATATATATATATATATATATTCATTCATATTTAGTCGAGTTGTAGTCTTGTAACTCTTGTTGAAAATAAGTGTAAAGCTCTCAATTTGTTTATACTGAAAAACCGGAACAGGGAGAATTGAACGTAGTTTTCTAAACTTCGCATGGACCACTACAAATTCATTTGTGTCATTTCTTTTTAATCGTTTCATGAATGTGAGATTTTAGTGTTTATAAATATACATTTACTAATCAAAAGTAGCGTCGTGAATCGTGTTTATGAATAGATCTTTTTATGAACAATGCAAATAATAGTTTAACAAAAAAAAAATTACAAATGTAATCCTATAGATGAGTCATACTGATGGACTCGTGATGAAATGCAAGTTAAAAAAAAAAAGTTTAAATGAATAAAACTACATAAAAAAATTGAATCAAACTTTTTAACTTTTTCAACAGTTTCTCTAAAACCATTCCTCTACAAATAGATGCCAAAGAACACATAAGTGAACTCACTCCTCATTCAAAATAAGTAGATCGAAGGGACAAAAAATGGCTGCCGTGACAAAAACCGAGGCTTCTAGTTTGGTTGGGAAGCTTGAGGCGGACGTGGAGATCAAAGCTTCGGCTGGAAAGTTCCATCACATGTTCGTTGAGAAACCACACCATGTCTCCCAAGCATCTCCGGGACACATTCAAAACTGTGAACTACATGAAGGCGAATGGGGAAAAGTTGGCACTGTCGTCATCTGGAACTACGTTCATGGTAAGTCAACTTTATACACTTTTTTAAATATTTGATGGAGTCTAAACCGAAATTAATTAAGGCTAACATACGAGGTATATGCATCTGTGTCAAAAATTAACATATATATATATATATATATATATATATATAAAGACTAGAGAATTCTTAAACATAAAGTAAATTTGATTACCATTAAAGTAGAAAAAAAATTGATTATCAAAATTAAACCTATAAAAAAAAAATTGTTAATTAATTGGTGCAGATGGGGTGGCAAAGGTTGCGAAGGAGAGGATCGAGGCGTTGGAGCCGGAGAAGAACTTGATCACGTTCAGGGTCATTGAAGGTGATCTGATGAAAGAGTACAAAAGCTTTGTGATAACGGTTCAGGGGACTCCTAAGCAAGGAGGGCCAGGATGTATTGTGCACTGGCACCTTGAGTATGAGAAAATTAGCGAGGAGGTTGCTCACCCTGAGACTCTTCTCCAATTCTGTGTCGATATGTCCAAAGGAATCGATGAATATCTCTCGACCGACTCAGTGGAGGTTGCTCCTCGTGTGGCTTTGTAAAGTGTGTAGTACGTGAACCGTGAACCGTGAACCGAGTTTGAGTAAGAGGTATACGTCGCTGTGTGTCATGTGTGTTTGTATGCAATAAATAATGAGCTGTGCTTTTATATCTGTACGTGGAAGCCCCTCTACTAAGTATGTGTATAATGTTTGTCATTTGGTAAAACTAAAAAGAATGTGATGTATGATAGGATTTTAATCCATGTCTTTCTACGTACCTTCATCCATCTAATAACATTTTTCGTATGGAGATTTAATGAAGCATATATATAATATACTGAGAGAAATATATATGTAACAAAATCATAGGATCATATAAAGATATTGTCAACTACAAAATGCGAATAAAAAGATCCTGTTTGAAGATTATTAATCAGTGCATAATATCAACCAAAATAATGTGATCAATGTAATAATCAAAGTAGAAGACTCTCTGGGCATAGATGATGAATATAAAAGTTGCAGACTGATAAAGGAGGTTTTAATATTTGATTTTACATTTTTATTTATTAGTATTTGTAGATAACGTTCCATGTTTTTATTGTTTAACGTCAATATAAATTTCTGCCCACTACGGAACTACTGATTTTAATCATATTTGTTCTAATAACATATTAATAAATATGTCAATATTCATATTGAGCGTGAACCATAAGAAATTATTTAATGTCATTTTTTAACTCTTTTTATTATTCCACATTTCCAATGGTTTTTATACGCAGCATTTAAGGCATCAAATGTTTAAGAAACTAATAATATACGCCAGCAACTATACCTGCTACCACTAACAAAATATTTATATAAGCAGAAACTTTGAAACAGGGAAAACGAAAGTATCTCGTGTATAATAAATTCAAATAAATTTTTAACAAAAAAAATAAAATAGTCCAAATAATGTATATATAAACAGAGACTTTGAACAAGGAAAACGAAAGAATCGTCGTGTATCATAAAATCAAATAAAATTTTAACCGAAAAAGAGCTTAATCCAAATAATGTAGATAATTTTATGAACAATTCAATTAAAAGTTCAAATAATTATACAGCTGAGTCAATGATGGGAATATGGGATCGGAATCACATGATACACAACTAATCATGAAATTATTATAATGAAAGAAACTCTTAAATGTATTCGACTGTTGCTCAACCATTCGACTATAAATAAAGTCGATCAGTAGATAATTAACTCACTCCTCTCTCAAAACCCTAATATTCCCAAAATAAGCATATCAGAGTTATAAATGGCAAGCACTGGAGCTCCTAGTTTGGTTGGGAAGCTTGAGACAGAAGTGGAGATCAAAGCTTCTGCTGAGAAGTTTCATCAAATGTTCGTTGGGAAACCACACCAGGTCTCCAAAGCATCTCCAGACAACATGCTGAGCTGTGATCTGCACGAAGGCGACTGGGGAAAAGTTGGCTCTATTGTCTTCTGGAACTACGTTCATGGCAAGTCAACTACCTTATAATACACTTTTTGCTTGTTTGTTAGTGTTTTATATAATTTCTTCCATATCTTATATATATGTCTAAACTTATAATACATTTTTGAACTTACATTCAAGTCACACTTGTATAAATGATAAATTCATTGGTGCAGATGGCGAGACAAAGGTGGCTAAGGAGAGAATCGAGGCCGTGGAGCCGGAGAAGAACTTGATCACGTTCAAGGTTATAGACGGTGATCTGATGAAAGAGTACAAAAGCTTCTTGCTCACGATCCAGGTGACCCCAAAGCAAGGAGGGTCCGGTAGCATTGTGCACTGGCACCTTGAGTATGAGAAAATCAGTGACGAGGTGGCTCATCCGGAAACTCTACTCCAGTTCTGTATCGATGTCTCCAACCAGATCGACGCACATCTCTTAGCTGAGGAATAGAGGTCTGTACTCCTCTCGTGTGACTATATCCTATCTGTACATGTATGTGTGATTGCATGCTGATTAATAATTGCACTCGTTCAAGGTGCAACAAATAACGAGTTTGAGTTGGTGATAAGAGTGCTATTCTCTGAATGTGTGTATGTATTATGTGTTTTGTTTGTTTAAGTGAATAATGTTTTAATAAAATTATGTATTAATGATGTTATACAATATGTTTGGATAAATAAGCGTAGTCTTTCCTTTTATTATTGTTACAAATTTTACAGTTGAAATTGCAAAATAAATGATATACTGTCAAAACAATAAAAATAATAACAATAATATATAACATATCCATAATCCCTTAAAAGGTCCAGTTTGTGATCAATACATTGCAAAAGGTGGTAAGGAGCTAAAACGAGTCTAAGCATGCAACTATGCAAGCTTAATTGGAATAAGTTACATATATTCATATCAGAGCAGAAATAGGTTTGGGGACATATAAACCGTTAATTATCTTTAGGAATTAGTAGACGGTATGTAAATAATGTTCCTCAGAGTTGGCTTATCGGAGTTGATCTGGATTAAAGAAAAATGGTCGATCAATGAGTGTTTTTGCAGCACAGAGAACCACATGATATGTGATATGTCTAAGACTTTATTGCTATGTTACTGATCAATGTATTTGGCTGTCGAATGATAAATTGAAGAATTTACCAAACGGAATGTGTTTTGTGAATACACATGCAGTGATTTCTCTCCATCCAAAGCATTTGAACTGCAGCTTGTCAAAGCTAGCTAGAAGATCAAAATATTGAGTCTTAAGATTATCAACCACAATATTGAGTCATTAAGATTATTATATGGGTAATTAGAAAGTTGAACACTGAAAGATACATACATAATGAACAATGAAGAGTGTCAAAGTGGTAAATAAAGTGTTTAGTTGTTTTTTTTAGATCAGCTATATTTACCGTACTAGATTTTAACCCGCGGTGTAACAGACATTTTATTTTTAATTTATATTTATGAAACTTTTACAAATTTTTTTGGAATTCTTTTAATAAATATCAAGATTACACAATATTAATCTTTACTTAAATTATTTTGATTATACATGTCCGATACTGTTGTTATTAAAAATAGTAAAATAATTTTTTTTGCCCGTATGAAGTATGAGATTATTGATATTTTAAATTTTTTGTTGATATCAATTCAAACCCATCACGTCTTAGAACCCGTCTTGTCATATAATATGTTGAAAGCATATTACATCCCTTCCCATCTATGTTTAAAATTATAGCAGGATCAATAATACTTCAATTTAAATTTAGTGCAGAGTTAAAATAATAATATTACTTAAACTTTTTAAAAAATTAAAATAATTAAAATATTTTAAATTTTATATATAATTAACAATCTTATCCGTCTTACTACCCGTTATATCTTACAATCGTTTTATGAACAATGCAAAACAATTGTTTTTTTGTTTTTTTGAAACAGTGCAAAACAATTGTTTAACAAAGGGAAAAAATAAACAATGCAAATGCACGTTAGCGAGGAGGTTGCTCACCCTGAGACTCTTCTTTACTTCTGTGTCGATATGTCTAAAGGGATCGATGAATACCTCTTCACCGAATCAGTGGGGATTACTCCTCGTGTGGCTTTGTAAACTTTAAGTGTACGTCTTAACAGGGGCGGATCTAGAAAATTTGTTCAATGGGGACAAAAATATAGTAAAAAAACTATCAAATACTAAATTATAAAAGACATAAAATTGTCATGTAAAAACTTTAAACATCTTACAAAACCACTCAGACGCTCATTTAACAATTGAAACCTTTTTACCACATTTTCATTTGTGACATATTCAAATAACTAAAAACAAAAAAAACATGTTATTATGTAAAAATTTAGAAAATTTTGAATTTATAGACTTATATTTTAAAATTTATTAATTTAAAATTTATAAATTATGTAACAAACTTCCATAAAAGCTTAACCATAGAATAAACATATAAACAATTATCACTGCAAAAACTAATATAGTCATGTATAACATAAAAACCTATATAATGTTTTCCAGGAAACATAGTTATAAGCTTGAACTGATTAAATAAAATTAACTGACTAAAAAATAATGCTTATATAATAGAAACGATTGTAAAAAAAATCAGGAAAATAAAACTCACAAATTGATAGTTGTTGATTTGTTGTCACATAAAGAAAACAAAGGATTAAAGAAGAAGAAAATAACAAAAAATTAGGTCTAGATTAGTAAGTCTTTAACTTATATATTAATATATATTTTTTAGTACATGGGTTAATGGGCTTTCCCAAAAAAAAGATAAAAAGTAGTTTTTTTGGTGGGGGCAGATTTTGTTTTTTAATAATATTTAATAATTTTTTAATTTTTTAATTTTTTTTTTTTTGTTGGTGGCAGCTGCCCCCACCATCTTGGCTGTGGGTCCGCCCCTGCGTCTTAAGCATAACACTGTGTGTTTGTATGCATGCAATAAAATAATGAGCTGTGGTTTGTATATATGTTAGTGAAGAAATGGAAGCCCTCTACTCTAAATATGTCATATGTGTATGATGTTCGTTATTTGGTAAAACGAAAAAGAATGTTGTGAGGAAATTTATTGGTCCCTAATCGCCTTTCACCCGATCAAAGATTCAAAAATCTAAAACTTGAACATGACACAAGAGAATTTGATCACCGAGTTCCCGGCCTCTAACCGGTACGTGTCGGGTGGGAACCGTCTCCCACAACTTCCACTATATGAAAGAGGTTATACCACTAACTTGTGATGTTGTTTTGGTTTTACAAATTTCGGCACACAAGAGGATACAATATCAAAGACACAACAAAGAAGGAGAAAGCTTCTTGAAGAAGAACCCTCTTTTTTTCTTCTCTTTCTCTAGAATTCTCTTTGATGTGTGTCTTCTCAGTTCTCACCTCCCCCACTTTCTTGAACGAAGACACATACGTATACATGTATGCATAGGGGCCAAAGCTATTTCCAGGATCTTCTTCTCCTTTTCTTAATGCCAATTTCGTCTGGCCCATTAAGGCCCAATAATGTGTGTTTGTCAAACCCAATTAACTAATGTGATGTATGATAGGATTTTAATCCATGTTTTTCTACCTATCATCTATCTAATAACATGTTTCGTATCATATCGTATGGAGATTTAATTAAGCATATAGTATATTATACTGAGAGTCTGAAAGAAAGAGAAAATATTTATATATGTAACGAAGAAAAGTCATCATAGGATCAAATAAAAGATATTGTCAACTACATAATGCGAATAAAAGATCGTGTCTGAAGATTTATTAATCAGTGCATCATATCAACCAAAATAATGTGATTAATGTAATAATTATAGTACAAGACTCTAAGCATAGATGAAGAATATAAATAATGTAAATAATTTTCATATTTAGAGCCATCAATATGAACAACCAAAATAAACTGATAGTCATACTTAGCGTGAACCACAATAAATTCTTTAATGTAATTTTTTTTCTCTTCTCTTTTATTATTCCATTAATGGTTTAAGGTTGAAATGGCAACATCTATGTATTAAAAATTAAGAATATACGTTGGCAACTACCTGCTATTACGTACTAACCAAATTAATATATATATAAGCAGAGACTTTGAAACAGGGAAAACGAAAGTATCGTCGTGTATCATATATTCAAATAAAAGTTTAACAAACAAAAAAAAAACTTAAATCCAAGTAATGTAGGATAGTTTTATGAATAATTCAAATAATTTATACAGCTGAGTCATAATGATGGGATCGGAATCACATGATACACAACTAGCTAATCATGAAATTATATTATAATATTCGAGTGTTGCTCAACCATTCGACTATAAATAGAGGTTAATGAACTCGATCAGTAGATAATTAACTCACTCCTCTCTCAAAACCCTAATATTCCCAAGATAAGCATATCAGAGTTATAAATGGCAAGCACTGGAGCTCCTAGTTTGGTTGGGAAGCTTGAAACAGAAGTGGAGATCAAAGCTTCCGCTGGAAAGTTTCATCACATGTTCGTTGGGAAACCACACCATGTCTCCAAAGCATCTCCAGAAAACATCCTGAGCTGTGATCTGCACGAAGGCGACTGGGGAAAAGTTGGCTCTATTGTCATCTGGAACTACGTTCATGGCAAGTCAACTACCTTATAATACACTTTTTGATTGTTTGTTAGTGTTTTATTTAATATCTTCCACATCTTATATATATGTTTAAACTTATAATATATTTTTGAATTTACATTCAAGTCACACTTGTATAAATGACAAAATCATTGGTGCAGATGGCGAGACAAAGGTGGCTAAGGAGAGAATCGAGGCCGTGGAGCCGGAGAAGAACTTGATCACGTTCAGGGTTATAGAGGGTGATCTGATGAAAGAGTACAAAAGCTTCTTGCTCACGATCCAGGTGACCCCAAAGCAAGGAGGGTCCGGTAGTATTGTGCACTGGCACCTTGAGTATGAGAAAATCAGCGACGAGGTGGCTCATCCAGAAACTCTACTCCAGTTCTGTATCGATGTCTCCAACCAGATCGACGCACATCTCTTAGCTGAGGAATAGAGGTCTGTACTACTCTAGTGTGACTATATCCTATCTATCCATGTGTATGTGTGATTAATAAAGCATTCTGATTATTAGTCTCACTCTTTCAAGGTGCAATATATAACGAGTTTGAGTTGTGATAAAAGTGATATTCTCTGAATGTGTGTATGTATTATGTGTTTTGTTTGTTTAAGTTAATAATGTTTTAATAAAATTATGTATTAATGATGTTTTACAATATGTATGGATAAATAAGCCTAGTCTTTCCTTTTATTATTGTTACAAACTTTACAGTTGAAATTGAAAAAAAAATTATATACATTGTCAAAAAAAAAAAAAATTAACAATAATATCATACCCATATAGGAATTTGTCATATATTATTCCACATATATCCGTTTTAAGGACTTTAAGTTACGAATAATGCATTAAAAAAAAAAACAGAAAACAAAAAGTTATATAATCATATTTATCAAATAACATAATAAATGACTGTTGTTTTTATTTGCATTACAACCAATTCGTGCCTTGATTTAACGAACGACATGTACTCCTAAGAATATTTTCAACATACGTGATTGCGGAAGGAAAGACCTGAACCGTGTGATCCTGAATGATTCTAGATCATTTTATATGAACAAAACCTAATTTATCGGTTATCTTTTACGAAAATTCAGTAGGTGAGACAACAAAAATGAGGTCGTGATTACAAAATAGCAATTAATAAATATTTGTTTTCTTCTACAACCGTTACGCCCTCACTCCTCTACAAAAAGAGGCCAAGTTAAGAGAACTCAAACAAGACTCATCATCCTCTCTCAAAATCGTATAAACTTTCAAGATAAACGAGAAAACAAAAAATGGCTACGAAAATGGCCGGGGCTGCAATGGATCCAATAAAGACAGAGGCGTCTAGTTTGGTTGGGACGCTTGAGATAGATGTTGACATCAGAGCTTCAGCTGGGAAGTTCCATCACATGTTTGCTGGGAGGCCACACCATGTCTCTAAAGCATCTCCAGGCAAAATTCAGCGTTGTGAGCTACACGAAGGCGACTGGGGAAAAGTTGGCTCTATTGTCTTCTGGAATTATGTTCACGGTAAGTCAATTTTATATTCTATCTTTTCACATAGATTTCAGAGTCATACCAAGAAATATATTTGGTGCAGATGGGGAGGCAAAAGTGGCGAAAGAGAGGATCGAGGCAGTGGAGCCGGAGAAAAACTTGATCACTTTTAGGGTGATAGAGGGAGATTTACTAAAGGAATATAAGAGCTTTGTGATCACAATCCAAGTGACCCCTAAGCAAGGAGGACGTGGGAGTGTGGTGCACTGGCACGTCGAGTATGAGAAAATTGACGACAAAGTGGCTCACCCTGAGACCTTCCTTGAGTTTTGTGTCCATGTCTCCAAAGAGATCGATGAACATCTCCTGAACGAGGAATAGAGAGTACTCTTTAAGATTGTGATATCCATCCTATATATGTGTATATGAAGCATGCATGTTTTAGTCTATGATGCAATAAATAAGGAGCCTTAATATGTGAGTGATATAGGAAAGTGCTATACTCTAAATGAGTTTACGATATGTTTTTCTTTTCAAAATAAAAGCTTGTGATACATAATGTACGTATGTTTGTGAATAAATCAAGCTTCGTTTGATCTCTGCTATCATAAAAGTTAGAATCATGCATTCTTCGCTTCCTCGTTTCAGTCTCTTTATAATATGATCTTCAGCTCATGTAATAAATCATTAATAAAGTGTTTAATATCGAAACACGTAGTGACGTAGACATGGAGAACAACCGAGCACCGTGGATCAGCTAATACAGTATTTGGACTGTCAAAACAAGGATGCATATAATGTACCAAGACTTTTTTGGACTGAACATAATTTTACGTTCATTCAAAGAAAATATATATATTTCGAAACACTTGTTACAATCTATATTTATTTAGCCAAATTAGACGTAAAAAGGGAAGGCTAAAAGAACGTAACTAAAATCAAACAGATTAATTAAGAGTAAAAATCAGAATGATCTTTTACTTAGCAAAAAAAAAAATCAGAATGATCACTAAAGTTTTGGGAAAATGACAAGCAGTTGTTTTTATCGATCTTTCTATGCTATTTGGCTAAAACGCTCAAGTTTCAGCAATGAGTAAAATGTATTTGAGTTTTATTCATGTTTAGTGTCCAATGAAACAAAACGGTTGAAGACCAACACATGTAATCTAGTGGTGGTTTATAGTTTATACTAATTTTGGTCGTCCTCATCCGAATTTGAACTTTGTATAATTATGTTACTGACAAAAAAAAATGGTTCCTAACACAATAATTTGGAGGACATTCTTTTTTTCCAAAAAATTATGACCGTTGAACGAAATAAGCAAAAACAAAAAGACATAATGACCATTGAACGAAATGGTTCCTAACACAATAATTTGGAGGACATTCTTTTTTTCCAAAAAATTATGACCATTGAACGAAATTAGCAAAAACAAAAAGACTACTGTATGACAAGATATGTCGAGAGATAATGACATTAATTATGGCACTTTCCTCTCAAGAAACAATTATTTGAATAGGATCTTAACTATTTTCTCTGACGAAAAACGTGTTGATAATGTGATGATAACTTTTCAATCGAGCATCCATTGATTTTAAAGAGAAAGCTTTTGCAATTTTCAAAATTCAAATATGTGCTGTTATATATGGACTAAATTGTCTATATGTCGTTTTTGTTACATATGTTTAATTCGGAAAATTATTACTTTCCCATTTTTGTTCATTTTTTCAAAGTGGATGTTGATCTGTCACATATACACCTTTTTTTCTTTTCTTATCACATTGCAAAATCGAGATCCGCAACATTCATTGGCTAAGATCTTTGAGACCTGGTCAGAAACAAGCTGGCTAGCTCTCTCACTACATGTCCTGTAGATTTTATTAACTACAAACACTCTGGTCTGGTTAGGAATGTAACAGTCAACTGCATGAGTATATACTTTGAGGTTCCATGTCCTAACAAAATTCAATCTTTACCAAACCTTTTGGTCTCTAGAAACGAGCTTATAAGTTTACTTGTAAAATAAAATAAAAAGACATTGTAAAAGAAAAAGAAAAAACTCTTAGATATACACAATTTTAAAGAAGAAAATAAAGGTTTTCATTATATGGAAATCTTATTGATATCTTTATGGGTCATAATATGATGGGACTGTATGTGATCACAAATCAAACCAATGTTTTCTTCTTCCAGATATGCTCACTCATTTCATCTATATAAAGTACTATCAAAATCCCAAGGAACTCACAATCTATACCAATACAGAAAAATCTCATAACTCCTCAAGAAAACCAGCCTTTGAAAAATGGCGGAGGCATCTTCTTTGGTGGGGAAGCTTGAAGCAGACGTGGAGATCAAAGCTTCGGCGGAAAAGTTCCATCACATGTGGTCAGGGAAACCACACCATGTCCCCAAAGCAACTCCAGGCAATGTTCAGGACTGTGTGCTGCAAGAAGGCGATTGGGGCAAAGTGGGATCTATCTACTTATGGAACTACACTCATGGCAAGTCAAATGTTATATATTCATCTATTTCACTAAAATACAGACACAATTCTATATGTGGGAATTTCATAGTTAAACCTACAAATATTAAATGATTGATGCAGATGGGGAGGCAAAGGTGGCGAAGGAGAGGATCGAGGCAGTGGAGCTGGAGAAGAACTTGATCACGTTTAGGGTTTTAGATGGTGATTTGATGAAAGAGTACAAGAGCTTTGTGATCACGATCCAGGTTACCAATAAGCATGGAGAGCCTGGAAGTATTGTGCACTGGCACCTTGAGTATGAGAAAATTAGTGACGCGGTAGCTCATCCGGAAACTCTCCTCCAGTTTTGTGTCGAAGTATCCAAAGAGATCGATGAACATCTCTTGGCTGAAGAAGAAGAAGAGGTGAAGCAAACAGAGACGTCTAGTTTGTTGGGGAAGCTTGAGACAGACTTGGAGATCAAAGCTTCGGCTGAGAAGTTCCATCACATGTGGTCAGGGAAACCACATCATGTCTCCAAAGCATCTCCAGGAAATATTCAGGGCTGTGATCTGCACGAAGGCGACTGGGGCACGGTAGGCTCTATCATCTTCTGGAACTACGTTCATGGTAAGTCAGTGTATATTCATATTTTTCATATAATTAAAACCAGTAGATTTCAAACTGAAGTTCAGACAAATTAATTAAACCTATAAATATCATATGTTATATAATTGGTGCAGATGGGGAGGCAAAGGTGGCTAAGGAGAGGATCGAGGCGGTGGAACCTGATAAGAACTTGATAACGTTCAGGGTTATAGAAGGTGATCTGATGAAAGAGTACAAAAGTTTTGTGGCCACAATTCAGGTGACCCCTAACCCTAAGCATGGAGGTTCAGGGAGTATTGTGCACTGGCACCTTGAGTATGAGAAAATTAGCGAGGAGGTTGCTCATCCCGAAACTCTCCTTCAATTATGTGTTGAGATCTCTAAAGAGATAGATGAACATCTCTTGGCCGAGGAATAGAGAGGAGAGTACTCCTCGATCGTGCATCTATTTGTGTGTGTACCGTATGTTCAGTATTTGAATTCAGATGCAATAAATAAGGACTATGAGCCATGTCCGAGTTTGTGAGTGTGCATGAATATTTCAATGTATGTTTTACGTTTGAAATTGTAAGTTTGAGCAGCGACGTGTAGTAGTAGCTAAAATATTGAAGCTACTACAATATTAACTATGTTATGTTTACTAGCGCTTATAAAATATCTTTGGATTTTATCTTTTATGTTTTCATGATTCATAAAGATAAGAGAGAAAAAAACAACTTTCTTCACAACAACCAATCTAACTTGTAAATATCATTAAAATAAAAAATAAGGTAATACAAAAGTTGTAAATATCGAAGACTCCATTTTTGGGACATGTGCTTATGGAGATGGCCTTCTCGTAT